TCAAGTCTTCAACTCATTCATTCCTCTTTCGCTCCAAAAAGCTCCACTTTGCATCTTCTTGCACACTTTGGCCTTATAATCTGAAAATACACAAAAGTGGCCTTAAACACTGAAATAGATAAGTAAACACAACATAAATGCACGAGAACAAGCTAATTAAGTCGCATGAATATGCTCCTATCAGAGAACCTATTCAGTTTAGGATTACAAATGCAATACGGTCTTTCTCTAATACAATACTCTTGACCACATTGTTTGGTTTGATAGTTTATTCATGTCTACTATCCAATGTGAATCTTGTACTTATATGATTACCTTGAATGTGATCTGGAACGCATTCCAACATCTCATTCATACTCTGGCCAGAGATTCTAAATCATATCATAGAGTATTCTCCCTCAAACAGTTTGAAGGTTAGAGATCCCTTGTTGCGCATTCACTTGCCTCCATGGCTAAGTGGCTTAACCCTAACGATGCTGTGGACACCCTGATAGAGTGACTTTGACATAATCAAAGATTAAGGACCTAACCACAAGACAACTGTGATGCCTCAGGTCAAAAGACTAATTTGCATTATCCCAACCATGAGTTCTCATGTGACATGAATATGAGAACTCTTCGTTGATCGTGTTCAGTGAACTCATTCTCTATTGAGCACCTACGTACTTGTCTTGATGTCACACACACCAATGACTCGAGACTAGTCACTCTCCCTGAGAGAAGACATAGCACGTACTGATCTTAACGGACTGTCAATGCCCAATTGACAATCCTATGATCAGGAACGTTTAGGATGTGTCAACGAAAGAATGGTCTCATGAATCTAACTTCTTTAGATCGCATTCTTCCAATCACATATTCCTTGGACTTATCGTTTAAGCATATAACATTTATATTAGACGGCTCAAACAATAATCTTTGCCCTTTACATTTAAACTACATTAGTTTGAAATGAACTACATTAGTTTGAAATGTCCGTAAAGTATCATCATATGATTGGTTTTAGGGCACATTTCCAACAACAACTCCATGACCAAATGAACCGACTGCTTGTCCTCATAAGCTCCCTTGAGTTCCACAATGTTTGGCTGTCCCGTCAAATGATGTATGATATGTACCTCCCTCCTCACATCCTCAATATCTTCCTTGTTCACCAGCTTCCGCTTGGCGATTGTCTTGCAGGCGAACTGCTCTCCCGTGGCCTTGTGCGTGCATAAGTGGGTAACACCGAACTGGCCCCGTCCCAGCTCCTTGCCAATGCTGTACGTGGTGCGAACGTCCTCCATGGGGCGGCCTAGGACAGGGCCAATAGGGCCCGGTTTGGTGGCCTTTCCTGGGTGAGTTGGGGAGGCGGAAGGTTTATGGTGATCAGCGTGGCTGGGGTTGGGGGCAGAATTGGCAGCGGTAGGGTTTTTGTCTGCAGCATTGTTGTTGTCACCCTTATTGTCGTCGTTTGGGGCATCCTCGGTGTTGCGTTAAGAGCAACAGTTGCCCATGGAGGAAGAAAGAGAGAGAAAGAGGGGGTAGGATGTTAGATGTGGCCACGACAGGCAATGTCGGTTTAATTTTTGGGCTGAAGAAAGGGTAGGGGTAGAGAGAGAGAGAGAGAGAGAGAGAGGTGGCAAAGGAAACAAGGGCTACAGGTTGGACTGACAAGGGTAACACAAAGGATGATGAGGGATTGTAGGAGTTTTGGTAAGTTTGGAAACTTGGAAAGGGGTTTGAAACAGTCTTGGGCGCGCTCCTTGTCCTACGTGGGGGCCTCTCATTTTTCTATATTTCTTTGCATGCACACTACGTACTCTTTATGCATGGGGCTACACGAGGAGTATGTAGCAACTCGCGGTTTGTTTTTCTTACTGTTGTATCATTTTTAACGATGTTTAAAACACATTTATTAACACATGCCCACGCTAACATACTGACGGATTACACGTGTTGACGTCTTATTCGTCGCTTGCCTCTCCAGCTGGTCTGGCAGGTCCTTGTATTGGCCAAGGATAGTAATTGAACTCTGTCAAACTGTCAACTACATGAGAAATTTTTAGATGTGACAGGAACACGAGCAGTACACTACATGTTTTTATGTAAGTGATGGAAAATTTTAATTTTTAGGTTATTAACATTTTAACAAACATATTCTACCATTTATATAGTGACACGTGATGTACCATCTCATGTGACGGTCGCATTGAAAAATCTCCCCAACTACATGAAGGTAAAGGTCATTTACGTTTATTATGGTCAACTACCATAATCACAAAATGTAGTTAAGTAAAAACGACGTAATTTCAACAAAGGGTAATACGAGGAGACCAAATTTCCTAAATCAAATCTCTAAACCAAATGAAGTGGCTGATGAGTTGGCTATGCCATGTCACTGACCTAGATTTTAAAACTCTTAATTACTTATTAAAATTAAAAAAAATATTAATGTTAATTAATTTCGACTACTCGTTTGCATGTTGAACTATGTGGAACTCTTCTTCTCCTACTCTCTCTTCTCTCCCAATTGCTCTCCCTCCTTTCTCTTCGTTGCCTCCTACCTCTAGTCCACCAACGACAAGAACTGACTGTCGGGGACGGTAAGATCATATCATCATTATAAATCTTTTTCAAATATAACCCCCGATTTTCAAACCAAATTGTCTTTATAATAACTATGTGGATTTTTACATGTCACGTGGGAACAGTTACTAATAAGCAAAAGGGGTTTTTGAACTTTAATCCTTAAGAAGATTAAAATTTAATAAAAATCTGGGGTTGGATTGAATATTGATTTTAGTCCCTTAAAGTGTACTTAATTCAAATTCATATTATGTTTTTGTTTTTATATTTAATAGATAACTTATGTAATGTTATTACATTAAATTTTAAATTTATTATTATAAACATTTTAATTCATTAATTTTATTGAACTTTCTCAAATTAGTGTACCCGAACGTCTGTAACATAATATATTTTATTAAATTAGTGTACCGAAATGCCCGTACCTAAATATATTGTAGTGAATTAATGACACATAAGAAAATATGTAAAAACATAAGTGTACCGAAAATTCCGTACCTAACTATGTGATACTAAACTAGTGTACCGATATGTCGGTACCTAAATATATTATACTAAACAAATGTACCGAAATGTCCGTACCTAAACATATTATACTAACCCAGTGTACCGAAATGTTCGTACCTAAATATATTGTAATGAATTAGTGACAGATAAGAAAATATGTAAAAAAAACAGAAGTGTACCAAAAAATCTCTACAAAATTATTTTCTTATACAAGATGCTTACCATAATGAGAATTACAATTTATAATATTTTCATAAAATTTAAATTCATAAAATTATAAATAAATAAAAAAGAGACATTAAATAGATATGGTGGCATTAAATAGAGTCTAGGGACTAAAATCAATTTTTAATCTTGTATAAGACATTTTTCTAAATTTCATCTTATTTAGGGATTAAAATCTAGTTTTCTATACGCAGAATGACCTTATTTTAAGAAGAAACATAAGAGTAACAATCAATATAAAAAGGAGTTCGATCATGGCTAGTACTAGTTCAAAAAATAGAGTTTATTTCAAGGTTTGGCTTGAGAGGAAGGAGGGAGAGCAATCGGGAGATACAAGAGAGGAGGAACAAGAGTCCCACATAGTTAAACGTGCAAATGGGTAATCAAAATTTTCATTTTATTTTTTTTAATTTAATAAGTGATTAAGAGTTTTTAAAATATGGTTTAGTGACATGACATAGCCAACGTATCAGCCACGTCATTTAGTTTAGAGGATTTGGTCTTACTAGCATTACCTTTCAACAAATCATCCTTATTATGGTTGCCATTGATGCGGTTTGCAACATTTTACCGGTTACATTAGCCTTGATAAGAAAGTACTTCTTAGGATTCAAATCGTTTGTATTTGACACTTTGTGTACGTATCTGTCTTGCTTGGTTTGGAAGTTTGCAATAGTGTCATTACCAGCAAATAGCAATACCATATCATGGACAATGTGACCATTAAAATTTATACCACTCAAATTCAATAAGTGGCCAACACATGTAGTCTAGAACATATATTTCGTCTCGTCATCAAACTGGTTATGTAAGTTCCTTAGACATGTATCAACTTTTGAATTATTGTTTATCCGTAAATTATACACCTTACGCCATACGAGCACTATTTTTGGTGCCATATCCTGAATATAGATTTTACAAAACTAAATTTAGATTTCTTCAAATTGGTGAACCCTAATTTCTTTGTTACCAATTAAAATAACTTTATACTTATCAACATGATGATGAAAATAAGAACAATTCTATATAGGTTGTGCTATCGACATACTTATTTTTACCTTTTACATCTCTCTCAATTTTCAATGGTCGGATTAAATGAATTAGAAAAAATTAATGGATAAAAATTAACAAGATTAAAATTAACAAAAATGTGTAAGAAGTAAAATAAAAAAAGCGAGTGAATGACACTACCCATCCTATATTTCAATAATTAACAAAACCTTTTTTTTTTTTTTTTACCCAACTTGGGTGTTGGGTGGAGAGATGGCGTGAGGGGAGATGGCCCATGTCTAAATGAGGACAATCTTGTACCATGAACTCGTGACCCTCATTTAAATCGACGCCGTTTAGTTTTCATGGTGTGGCTACCAAACTAAACAACGGAGAATAAATTAGTTATGAACTTGTCATCTATAAAAATCAAACTTAAAACTTGTCGCTTATATACTATTAAGTGGCAGCGCAAAAGAGAGTTAAGCCCCAATAATCCATTAAAGTGGTGAGCGGAGCTGAAACGTTTTGTGAAAGGTAAATTTTAGTTGAAAATTTACACTCGGTTCTGGGAAAACAAAGGTGAAAAATCTCTTCAGTTGTGACCTTCACTAGCATTTAGAATTAAAGAAACGAATATTAAAACTATCTCCTTTTTTCTTGGTCAACAAAGGAATATAAAGGAACAAAATTGTTAAGAAGGAACATGATAGCATGGAAACCTTATGCATTAGTTTAGCTTAATCAGCATCTGTATTTGTCCAACATATATAGAACTGTAATGCACTTGAATATATAGCGAAAAACAGATAATCCCGAACCACTTGCTTAGACGTCCAAATCTTATAACAGAAAGAAACACAAGTGATTGAAGTTGAGGAAATACATATCAATAAGTAGGAATTGTTGGATCAGCCTTCTGAGCATACGCATGAATTCCGCCAGAAACATTGTATACTCTCTTAAAACCCTGAACGTCACAAATCAATATTAACAATCAAGACAATTTCACAAAACATAATTTAATCAATATAACTAGGCTGGAAACAATAAATATTAACCAATGCAGTATGTATATCATGTAGCATCTTTCCCGGATACTGCAGAAACAGCTTTCCACTCGTTTCAGGCAGATAAAATCAAAACGAAATAAAAAAGGAAAAAAAGGGTTCGTTCTACTTTTTAAGGAAATACAACTACGGCCTGATAGGAATGGCAACATACACCTCCTTTCTTTGGCCATTGCAGATTTTCCACGGCTCCTTCCTCCCTCCAGAATCCAGATCCTTCCCTTCTTTTCATTCCCCTTAACTTTCCAATATTGAAACGTCCTCTCTCCTCCACAATCTCAACCCCTCTCTAATCCTTAACAAAAAAAAAAAAAAATATATATATATATATATATATATATATAGAAAGCCCAACCACCATATAACTTGCTGTGATTCAACATGTTTTTTTATCTAGAAGAAACGACAGAAATTTATTAAAACTAGCTAAGACCTTTCAAGTTGGACTACTTTACAAGTAACTATAGCTGAACCAAATTCATTTTACGGCTGCTAACACATCCATCACTATATAAGAAAGAGAATAATCCCTTAACTCATTTGAAACAGAAGCCCAGAGGGCTGCCAAGTATTTTACTCTACCCTATAGTTCCTCTACTCCCACTTCCTTATAATCCTCAAAAATTATTCTATTACGCTCCAACCAAATGTTCCAAAAAACTGCCAACACCAAACAGCCCCACAAAGCTTTAGCTTTCCTCCCATTTCCTAAAGCCTCAAACTTGGTGCTTAGAAGCTCGAAACAACCCTTTGGAATAACCCAACTAGCTCTAACTTCCTTGAACAATTTCCTCCACAGCTGTATCAAGTAAGAACAATGGAGAAAAATATGATTAACACTCTCCTCAGGTTTACACAAACTGCCAGAAGCGCACTAGAGAGCATCTAGACTTGAACAACTTAGATTGATGTAGCTACTAGAATTTTGAGAAAGAAAAGAAAATGCAAGAAGCACTAGGGAGTATCTAGATCCCACAAGGAAATATAAAAATAAGTAAGAGGGAGTATCTGGATCCCACAGTGAAATGGAGTCATCTAATTTAGTAGGATTCCATTTATAGTAAATAACAAAGCAGAGAGAACTGTACCTGTGTCTGCAACCACTTGGCAACCTGTAATGATCGCATGCCATGGTGACACTGCATTGTGGGACATGAAATGTCAACATATCGTACTGTGAAAACAAGGATTGAATATACAATGTCCAGTGAAAGTAAGCACTATAGGCAGCACATCAACCAATACACAGTTACATACACCCTTTGTTTCGAAAACTAAGAAATAACCCTCATACTTTAATAAAAAATTACACCATAAAAACTGAATCTGAAAAACCATCTCCTTATAGGACCTACTTTTCTTTCAAATGGGAGGAATGGACTTGCAAAAAATAAGGGGAATTCATATATAAGGTGTCATTTTTCATGAACTTGATTCTTTTCAAAAATCTCCCTCTCAAACCTCAAAATGGTTAAAAACCATCCCCTATATGTTCTTCACACACACACACACACACACACACACACACACACACACACAGATATACATATGTGGAAAAATAACACTAAGTTGGGTTCACTATGTTTCCTTCAAAGAATTTATAAAATTCTAAAACTTCTAGAGCGATTAGGAAATCTAAATTAGATAATATATTATACACAATACCGACTAGTTAATTTGATCTTTACTCTCGTTATCAAATTATAATTTTTTAAACATAACCTAAGAAGAAATATAAGGAATTCTACTTCATTCCTGCCGAAGCCACAAAGATAAAAGTTTATTATCATATTTAGAAGTTATGGTATACCTACCATGTTAACCCATGTTCGTGTTGTGCATTGGGTATAACACATATTACAGTATAACCAGAGTGAATATAAGTTATTATTCTGGGAAGATACCTAATCTAGAAACAAGATTAAGCTCTATTCCCACAGTGCCGCAGCCAAGTCTCCACCCACAAAAAGGTTGATAAAAACTTATATATATAGTTTCACGTTTGCAAATCTTTCAAAACAATTATATGTTAAGTTATTTTCAAACAAAAATATACAATATAAAGAGAAAACTGTTAGCGCCAAAGGTTTGTACCAACCATAACATAAGTATCCTTTTGAGGATCAAACTTCGTAGTTATTTCAGGTCCCCAGCTCCCAAATTGTTGAAGAGGAAGAACCTGGAAACCCAGCAAAGATGCTTGAGCTCTGTCAAACAAAGGTAATATAAGTAAACAAAAGAGAAAAGTGCTTATTGACCAGAGTCAAAAGCTCCTCCAAAGTTGTATAAACTATATACATACATACACACACGCATTACAAGGAATTTCACTGTGTTAGAAAGAAAAAAATAATAATAATCTATGACAATTTTTGCGCTTTCTTACATTATCTAACAGTGTATACATGAAATTGAGAAAAAAATATACATTCATATTATACAACATAAAAATTAGTAAAAAAACGGTGAATCTTAGTACAAAAACACAAACGATGCGCCAAAAAAGAAAAAAGAGCTGCAATCTAAAGTTAACTTTATCAAACGATTTCTTAACATAAGGATATAAATAAAAACTGAGGCATTGACCACTCAGAAAGAGAACAAATAGAATTAAATTTGAGTTTAGAGGATGAAGCTTTGACGTATTAGAAATCCTATCATTTCTCTCCCTCCACATAGCACACCAAGGGATCAGATCCAAACATCACCGCATTAATGCCTTGCCTTAGAACATTACAACCCAGAGTGGAAGCAAATTAACCACAGACTGGACCATAGTGTTTATCTAGTTAGAGAATACAATGGCAACAAAAATTAAGAAGTATGATCCACTGTCTCACCACTAGCTTTGCACATTAAAACACACTAATACAGATATGAGATTTCCTCAAATTGAGCAAATTCATAAATACTGCAATTTTCTACAGTTTTCCTCAGGTCCAGGTTACTGTTATAACTCATTTCAAATTTGAATTTCTCACTATAATATGACCGTAGATATGGATCAACCCACTACTCAAGCCTACCCCCAAATTCAGATACACATGATGAAAGAAACCATGTCATAAATCAAGTGCATTTCATTCATTTCTAAAAATGAAAACAGAGCATTCATAAAAAATGATTCTCTAGACAAACAGAAGATAAAATATCAGAGCATACACTTCATCAGGTTCTCGAACATCAATTAATTGTGCCTCATCTACGAAACTGGGATCTTGCATCTTCACATGAAGCTCCTCAGGTTTAATGTCTTGAAGTAATGATTCTTCCCTAACAGAATATGGTGCATGTACAGAAATAGATTAGTACACTCAAGTGTGAGTCAGCAGCTTGACTGCATTGTCAAGTAAGAGATTAGTAAGAGACATGCTTTTAGGACGTACCTCTCTGAAAGTACTTGCAATAAATGCCATCCAAATTGTGTTTTGCACCTTACAACTTTGTTCAAAGATGCACTAAAAGCAGCCTCCTCAAACTCAGGTACCTGGCACATTTTTGCATCACACAACTGTGGAATCATATTGGTTCAAGAAACATAATACATAGCAGAAATTAATATTCAGTGTATTTTTCCTATCAACTGTTTCACTGGCATTAATTTCAGATTCACATAGTAACACATCATCGTCGATAAATAATTTGAAAATCATTAAATTCATGTTCTAAAACAAAAGTCAAGGCAGGGTACTATCCATAAAGCAACATACAAAAAATAACAGTGCTTTAGAGATTGATTAATTAACGATGGTTTCAACTAATACTAAGTTTCTTTGGCTTTTATATTTATAGTCTCCCATACTACAAACTGTAGACTTTCCCTACAACAAATCAGACCATCTATCATGAAATGGTAGAGCTGAGCTAATCGAAAGGCAAGCATAAAAGATCTAAAACGTGATACTTGCAAGTGCCAGCTAGCGCAATTAGAAAGTCCCTTGGTGTTGTATCGATGGACCAGGGATAAAATCTCATCTATGTGTGAGGGGGTACATGGGATGGGAGAGGGCTACCTCCATGATGACCCCACAGGCCCATACAGCCTAGAGTGGACCGACAGAAGAAAGTGGTCGAAAACCTCTATCTTCTAATATGTATCAGATATATATTTTTTTATTTTGTATGAAATACACTTAGTGGTTATAAATATATAATGCTTCAATTTAGCATCAAACTGTTTCCTACATTTTTCATTTAGACTCCCTTTACGTGCAAGATATTGCAAAAGAGCTAGTTCCCCTAATATAAATAAATAACTCCTGTAAATTCTGCAAGAAATTATTTAGGAGAAGATAAAACACACTTCCAAGCAGGAAAAAATAACAGAATCGGATGGTAATTTTTGTACTCAATTCTATCAATGCTCCCACGATGTATGCAGTACTCAGAAAACCACAATTAAACAAGAAAGTAACTACAATGTCTCTGATGTTATATAAAACATTAAGGACAAATATTTATGTCATCAGCATACCATTTGCCCCTTTCTCACCCATCCAAGCATTCCCCCCTCTTCCTTGGATGGACATATTGAGTATTCCGTAGCAAGATCACTGAGATCCTCACCTGCATTAGCACAGCACAGCAGCGCAACAACCAAATTTAGAAGAGAATGTCAAACTTCAAATTTTGTTTCACGATTATGATTAAAATTTTTACAGGAAAAAACTTAATATGATTGAAGGAATTAAGGCATTCAACAATACTTGAAATCTCAAAGTTTCTGAAAAAATCACAGATCAATTATAAACCAACAACATTAGCATTGACCCCTTTAGCAACCAAAACTCACGAAAACAAACCTGCTGAAACTCTCTTCTGAAGATCCACAAGAAGTTCAAGGCTGTCTTCCTTAAGAAGCAAGTGCTGCACCAATATTTCCCTTCCAGTTCCAGAGCCGCTTTCAGCACTAAACGAAGCTGAAAGAAATACAACTTAGAACTCTTCCACAAAGAAATGCAGTGCCTGTATCATTAAAGGAGTGTGTGTGTGTGTGTGTGTGTGTGTGTGTGTGTGTGTCGTTTTCGCTTACCCGGAACTGGAAGCATGTTCAATCCGTTCAATCAACTCAATTCTAATTTTCATTTCCTTGGTGGGGATAATAGAGGATTTAATGGCATTACTATTCAGTATTTTGATTACCAAGTTTTCTAAGCAACAAGACATTTCAATACTTTCCATTTTTCTCAAACAACCATTGAACAACAAAATCTAAAACAAACCACCCAACATTGCATTTGAAGAAGGAAATAAATTCAAATTTATTTACGAATGGTTTGGTCACCTCACCTGTGCTCCTGGGGGGAAAGGGAGTACCCATCAGGCGCAGCGGAAGCCGCCTCTCGCGGGAAGAAGCGGGTTTGCAGGAGGTGTGAGAGAGAAAAGTAGGGTGACAGAGCGGTGCAAAAGTGGAGACTGTGGGGAGATTAGAAGGAGAAGAGAGGTGGAGGTTGGGAGTGAGAAGAGCATTCAGAGCTGGAGGCGCTGTTGCTATTGGTCTCAGATTACAAGAAGCTCTGAACATTTTTCGCCCTTCCCCTTTCAAAATTGATAGATTAGGGCTGAGGGAGATTTGGTTTCAGAGAGTACTGGTGTTCAAACTTCACTCACAATCTTTGTACATAAACTGCAGGTTGGGGTTGATGCTACTCTGTAATATTTCCCTTTGTTAAAGAATAATTAAACACAAATGGATTCGTTGGACCAAATGGAGAAAATAAAATTGAATTTGGACAAAACACATTTTTTTTTTTTGGCTGCTTTAATGGCAAAAATGATTCCTGTGTTATAGTCATTTGACCAATTTAATCCATGTTTCAAATTGGCCAATTTAATCCTCATGCTTATCTTCTTTAGTCAATTAAGAACATTTTATCTAATCTCTGTCAAAAAAAAATTATAACCTGTTTTATTTTATTTTTAAATATTTTAAATTAAATAGATAATATTATAAATAAGTTTATAACTATTTATGAATTTTTAACTCAGATTGGATAGAATGTCCTTAATTAGCTAAAAGAGATAAATACCATGACCGAATTGGCCAAGTTAAAAACGTGAGACAAAATTGGCACAATGACCATTTTGACATTTAAGCCATTGTTTTCTTCCAGCATTTCATTTGCCTTGTTTATTTGGCAGCACATATGGTAAGGCTTGGAAGGAGAATATAAATTTGGAATTTGGACAATACTTGCAATTTTGTCAACATTTACTAATTTTCTTAATTGTGTATTAATGGATTGTATGCACAATGCAATATGTTTACTTACATGGAATGAATTTGTAAGGAATGTGTATCATTTTCTTCACGTGTTTACTAACAACCAAGGATTTAAAAGGAGTATGTATAAAGGGGAGCTGTTCGTATTCTCATTCTTTCATATTTACGTTTCTTCTCATGATAAGTAAACATGTCCTTATCTTACGTTGTTGTAAAAATAGGTATGGGATAAACACACTCCCTCAGCTATCTCATCGCATGCCTTCATTTTTCAAGTATATCGTACCCAAAATCAACACGATCAATCTACTTTTGGATTCCTTTAGTTGTTGGTAAGCATATTCCTTGCAAATACTTTCCTTATAAATAAACTTGCTAACAGTGTATAAAGTATCGTTTCTCTCTCTCATACATAAATTACAATGTTGTATCCTTTCTTCCTCAACTGAGAAACATACTGATAACTCTGCAACACCTCACAAACAGTAGCTCGAACACTACAAAAGATTAAACATCACAAAGGAAGATTACATGTAACAGACTTACAACGAACAAAATAACTACCAAACTCCCTACGAAATCAAACTCCGATCTTTTCCCAGCCCAGTGTCTCCCTTGAAATCCTAGTTTTACTTACCTTGCATCCTCTAGGTCATGAATGCGCACATCGGGAACTTTACTTCATAGGACACAAAATTCACAATCAACCTTTCTTGTTCTCTCTCTTCGTATATGACGGATCTTCGTCTCTATAGATTGCGAATGAAGTTTCATGAATGGACAAATTGAAGGAAGATTTGTGAAAAACAAGTTCATTTGAGCAACATCAACAACATGCAATTAACAATTAAAAGGCGGAATCATGTTTATATGCACTCAAAAACAAAACTTAATCCATGAACTTCAAAGCCTAGTAGATAGGTGAACCAAGACTCAACTCAAAACAAAGTGAGTTGAGAAATCAATACCTTTGTAGATTCCTCTTTGCATAAGCAAAGGCTAATCACCCAAAGAGAGGGCCTTCATTCCTTGCATCCTAGATCCATGGATTTGGATGGATGAAAAGGTTTCTCCAAGTTCCCAAAATTGAGAACCTCTAATGATTCATCACCAAGGCATAATGAAGAAGAAATGAGTGACCTTGGAGGAGTTTGATTGCTAGATGATCCCTCCAAGGTGGCCGAAATTTTAGAGAGAAAGAAGAGCTTGTGTTCTCATCCTTTCCCCAAAAATAACCATTTGAATTTTAGGCTATAAAGTCCTTTATATAGTCCCTTCAAATAAGTGACCTAATGGACCAAAAGCCCTATTCTTCTAACATGGCCGGCCTATAGGTTTATTGGGCTTTCAAGCCCTTTGTTTATTCAAGTTGTCATACAACTTGAGTTAATGGGCTTGACATTCAAATCCTATTGGGCCTTGCGGCCCAAAACTAACCCGAGGTCTTTAACGAACTTACTCGTTTGATTAATTAACATATTAATTAATCCTAGCCTTAGATAAATAATTAAACCATTTAATTATTCTTACTCATCTCCGTTGTTTCTTCAAACTCTACCTTACTCGGTGAACGATCCATTAGGTTCCTTTTAGCGAGGCAGTGGGCGATTAAAACTCTTTCTAATCGATTGTGAATTGAAACTTACTTTCAATTCTCCCGTTAGTGATAATACACTTTTAGGACTTCCACAAACCATGGTTGACGCCTAGCAGCATGTCATGGTTACCTAAGCTAATCATAAGAGGTGGAGAACCTATTCAGTTTTAGGATTACAAATGCAATACGGTCTTTCTCTAATACAATACTCTTGACCACATTGTTTGGTTTGATAGTTTATTCATGTCTACTATCCAATGTGAGTCTTGTGCTTATATGATTACCTTGAATGTGATTTGGAACACATTCCTAAATCTCATTCATACTTTGGCCAAAGATTCTTAATGATATCATAGAGTATTCTCCCTCAAACAGTTTGAAGGTTAGAGATCCCTTGTTACGCATTCACTTGCCTCCATGGCTAAGTGGCTTAACCCCAACGATGCCATGGACACCCTCCTGATGGAGTGACTTTGACATAATCAAAGATTAAGGACCTAACCACAAGACAACTGTGATGCCTCAGGTCAAAAGACTAATTTGCATTATCCCAACCATGAGTTCTCATGTGACATGAATATGAGAACTCTTCGTTGATCGTGTTCAGTGAACTCATTCTCTATTGAGCACCTACGTACTTGTCTTGATGTCACACACACCAATGACTCGAGACTAGTCACTCTCCCTGAGAGAAGACATAGCACGTACTGATCTTAACGGACTGTCAATGCCCAATTGACAATCCTATGATCAGGAACGTTTAGGATGTGTCAACGAAAGAATGGTCTCATGAATCTAACTTCTTTAGATCGCATTCTTCCAATCACATATTCCTTGGACTTATCGTTTAAGCATATAACATTTATATGAGACGGCTCAAACAATAATCTTTGCCCTTTACATTTAAACTACATTAGTTTGAAATGTCCGTAAAGTATCATCATATGATTGGTTTTAGGGCACATTTCCAACAATCTCCCACTTGCACTAGAGCCAATCAGCTTGTTCATCAGTGATGATACCTCTTCTGTAATTCATTTCATAAATGGCTGAGTAGTAGGCCTAAACAATGGATATCTATATGTTATCCATAGAAGCAACCTTGAGAATAACGACGTCACCATTATACATGATTCTCAATCATGTGGTTCAGTCTCTCATTTGAGTTCGGACCTTGATGAGACCTTGATTCCCTGGCTTGAGCTATCGCCCCATTAGTGTCATACACTTTCTGGTTGGAACCGAATGGAGAGTTCATGAATGAACTTTCCCATCCAAACAACAATGTTGTAAGCTTCTATATGGCAATATATTTTGCATACATGATGGAACACATTAAAGTCATTTACTTTTAACGTTTCCACCCAAATATCTCTTTAGTCATAATAAAGAGATATCTCATTATCACTTCATTCATAATGAAGAGATATTCTATGATGGATTAGATTCATAATCTAATACATTTACGCTTCCATTACGTTACTCTAATTCTTCCTCATTCTTGAGGAATCCATCCTTAGTATTTCTTAAATACCTAAGGATTCACTTGACAGTTGCCATGGTTCTGATCCTGGGCTTGCACTGATATCATCTTGTACCGTTCTAGGTACAACTTATATCAATGTTTTCATACAATATGAAATACATAAATCACCTTTCTGCGTATGCATAAAGGATTCTATTTATGCATTATTTCTTTGGGAGTCAAAGGGTACATTCCCTTTGAGAATAACAACTTCCTAGTCTCACTAGAATTGTCATTCTAATTGAAGTTTATCATCATATGAGAAACTTCCTAGCATCTCTTGTCTATTTTAGGGATTGATATAATCCAATTATATCTTGAAATCTATCATTATAGATTTCCATCCCATGTATATAGACTATGTCTCCCATATACATTCTATCATTATAGAATGTTTAAAGTCATAACTTTAACGATGAAGAATTCCTTTCATTTTCAAAATTAATATATATCATGTATATATATTCTAATTCAGGAATATGATCAACTCCCACTAATCTTTTGTAAACCTAGTAAACAAAAGATTCATTTACATCTTTATGAGAAATCAAACAATTGATCTTTTCTCATAAGACGCTTATAGCTCCCACTAGCTTGCTAAGATCCATGATGGATGGATCTCTACAACTAACCTATCTTGTGATTTATAGTTTTAGACATATATTATCAAGACTATCTTAATAATGGTTTCGAAAACCCATATTATGTCCAAACCATTCAACTGAGACGGTTTATAAATCCTTCTGGACTACCTTGGAGCTTGTGGTATAGGAACTAGGTTGTCTTAGAAGTATATATCATATATATATGGGTAATTGATAATGTCCAACGAACTAAATCTTATTTATGTTCATTCTTCTCCTAATAGAGAAATTCATTATCTTACGATGCTACTTTCCTTGATATTTTTCAAGGAAATTAATTTAAAGTGTTACTTTTTCCTTGGATCAAATCTAAGGAGGTAAATACTTTAGACGTCTTACTCATCTACTTACATTTCTTGAATTCTTTGAAACCTTTTGCAAAGTATTCAGACTTGTGTTTATTCAAAATAAACTATACTCCAACCGAGAGTGATCTTCAGTGAATGTCATACAACATGAGTAGTATTATGTTGTGGTCAAGTGCCACTAACATCTAAGTGAATTAACCTCAACAACTTTGTGATTCTTTCTTCTTTCCAAAAGAATAAAGATT